AATATCAGAGTCAATATTTAGAGCAGGATTCTTTTTATTTTAACCGTGGCTGTGGGTGATCTTATATCGTGAGACATTAGATAACTTTTCTTGCTTCTAGGTTGGTTTTGCGGATTGCCACTGATGATTCCAAAGCAGTTTGTCGACTCAGTGTTAAATTTGGTGCCACATTGAAAACCAGCAGGCTTCTGTTGGAACGGGCAAAAGAGCTAAATATCGATGTCATCGGTGTCAGGTGAGATCTTGGTGGCATAGCCAGAGGCCAAGACATTAAGCAGTGCAAGTTTCACGGGCTTTGTGCCACTGTTAATCATTTTAAGAACTAAGAAATGGCATCTCATCTTTTTTATTCCAGCTTCCATGTTGGAAGTGGCTGTACCGATCCCGAGACCTTCGTGCAGGCAATCTCTGATGCCCGCTGTGTCTTTGACATGGGAGTGAGTATACATGACCTCGTTAGTGAAGGGGCAATGACTGGTGTGAATTTTAGAGTTAACCTTTTGTAGAAGACTGTCTCCTCTTACAGAGGCTTAAACCCATCTGTTGCATACATTTTTGTTACCTGTTACAAATCTGAATGTTTGACTTCTTAATTTTCTTGACTCTAGGCTGAGGTTGGTTTCAGCATGTATCTGCTTGATATTGGTGGTGGCTTTCCTGGATCTGAGGATGTGAAGCTTAAATTTGAAGAGGTAATTTATAACAAAACTGTAATACACAGTAGCTATTTCAGCAAGTTTCTTTTTGGAATATTTCAAAACTTAGTGTAGTCTTGGTGTGATATTTTGAGTGACTTTCTGTGCCTATCTAAAATTTAAATCAAATGTATTTAATACCATTTGGTTTTCTAAACTATGAATCAGTTTTCCCAGAAGTCTTAGATGATTGGTTACATTAAGATATATTGCTGTGGAATTACTAAGAATATGCTGACTTTAGTACATCATGACCTCAGATGTGGTTTGCTGGACTTGTACTTCCTTCCCTTAAGCACCTTAAATGTTTAGTCATTTAGAAAGTTACGCAGTTATGAGTTTATAAAATAGATCTACATTCTTATTTGTTAAATGATGAGGTAAGCTGAGTAGAAGGATTTTTATCCCGTTGGCATGTATTTGCTAAACAAAAATGTTTTCGCATCTTGATACCTCACTAGGTAGTAATTTGTTTTGTGCTATTTTCTGATAAATCAAGGATGGTGTGTCTAGAGAGGAATCAAAATGAACAACAGAGATGTGCAGACTGGTTTTCAGGGAGGTGTTTATTTTTTTGCTTTTGTCACTTAGTGGTAACTCTGTCTGTGGATGCCTGCTCTCATCATGTCATTTACAGAGCCCTGTGATCTTTCTCCTCCGTGTGAATTCCCCATGATGAATGGCCGCTCTCTTCTGTCTCTCTTAGATCACCAGTGTAATCAACCCAGCACTGGACAAGTACTTTCCGTCAGACTCTGGAGTGAGAGTCATAGCTGAGCCAGGCAGATACTATGTTGCGTCAGCTTTCACACTCGCAGTTAATATCATTGCCAAAAAAATCGTGTTAAAGGAACAGATAGGCTCTGATGGTATGTATGAAGGATGAATTATTGCATATATAACTGAAAGTTAATACAAAGGTGATAATTAAGATTAATCTGCCTTTCTAGATGAAGATGAGTCCAACGAACAAACCTTTATGTATTACGTGAATGATGGAGTATATGGATCATTTAATTGCATCCTTTATGATCATGCACACGTAAAGCCCCTTCTGCAAAAGGTAACTTGTGAACATACTGTATAAAATAATTGAGGTGATTGGTCCCAACAAATATAATTAAGTAGTACTTTCTCTCTGGCTTTTTGTATAGAGACCTAAACCAGATGAGAAATATTATTCATCCAGCATATGGGGACCAACATGTGATGGCCTTGACCGGATTGTTGAGCGCTGTGACCTGCCCGAAATGCATGTGGGTGACTGGATGCTCTTTGAAAACATGGGTGCTTACACTGTAGCTGCTGCTTCTACTTTCAATGGATTCCAGAGGCCCACTATCTACTATGTGATGTCAGGACCGACATGGTAAGTGAGACGTGCGTGTTCATGGTTCTGGCAAGAATAGGCACCTTCAAGGATTTGTGCTTGCTCTTGTCTAGTTGAATAAGAAATTGTTTGCCTAGGATTAAATTACAGACAAATGGGACGAAGATCCCTCCAGTAATGCTGACCTGTATAATTTTTCTTTTAGATTTTTCTAACAAAAGTTTTAGAAAATACTGATTAGGCTATTTCTATATAACTAGAATATTTAAGTCAATGCACATGACTTGTGGTTTTCTTAGTACCAATAAGGTAATTCTGAAGAAATGTTTGTTTTAGAAATATACTGAATTGCTTCCTGATGGGAAGTAAATACTCTCATGCCCGGTTGTGAGTGTCTCGGGGTGTTTAATACATGTCCTACTTCTTTCTCTCTCAGGCAACTCATGCAGCAAATCCAGAACCCCGACTTCCCACCTGAAGTAGAAGAGCAGGACGTCGGCCCTCTGCCTGTGTCTTGTGCTTGGGAAAGTGGAATGAAACGTCACCCGGCAACTTGTGCTTCAGCTAGTATTAATGTGTAGATATCGTTCTTGTAGCTGTTAACTGCGAGTTTAGCTTGAATTAAGGGATTTGGGGGGACCATTTAACTTAATTACTGCTAGTTTTGACATGTCTTGTAAGAGTAGGGTTGCACATGCAGCAATATGGAAGACTAGGAGATGGGGTCACACTTATCTGTGTTCCTATGGAAACTATTTGAATATTTGTTTTATATGGATTTTTATTCACTTTTCAGACATGCTACGAAAGAGTGCCCCTCAGCTGCTGAGCAAGCATTTGTAGCTTGTACAATGGCTGAACGGGCCAGAAGGTTAGTGTTGTGACCTGTTTTAAAAATAAAATATCTTGAAATAATTAGGCATTGGGAAATTTTTATAGTGTGTCCATTCCAGACAGTTCACAAGTCCTGTATATAGTTTGCTGTGGAGTCTCACAAAGAATAGTGTGGATCTAGCCCGCGCCTGCGTAGCAGGGAAAGGATGGATGAGACCAGGGCTGCATCCTGTGGTGCGGAAAGTACACACCTGCCCAGCCCACCCCGAATGTCCACAGAGTTGACTCTGAACTCGGGGTGCCTAGAGCCCTTTGCTGCAGGTGCTGTTGTGTCTAACTGGCTCGCCCTGTCGTGGCCGGTGCCCAGGGGAGCACGTGGGGCCGTTTGAGTCTTTGCCTGCAGAGACCATAGTTGTTCCTCTGCCCGCCTTGACTTCACTCCCACAAGTTGCAGTCACAAGTTAGGAACTTTGGCTATCAGCTCATTTTAATAAATTCAACAACAGCTATTACTCCGTGTTGAAGATCTTTACCTTCTTGTCTGACCTTGACCGCTGGTCTTTTATATTCTCCTTTTACTCAACTTGCACCCCTGTCCCCCCAAAAGCATGGCAGGCTCTCATACTTTAATATTTAACCCCCAAAGTGGAAGTTCTGAATCCCTGCTGTCGCCGAGGAGGGAAGGTCATGCAAGAGCCAGAGTTGCCCTAGGAAAGCCGCCGGTCATTGTGGCATCCTGGAATGTCTCACCAGCCTCCTTAGTGGGTCACGAGAAGACAGCAAGGGGTGCAGACAGGGGTTCTGTGGCTTTTCTTCCCAGGGGGTGAAATGTTAAGCTGCCGTAATCAAGCCTGCCAGCTGGTGCCATCAGTACATTTACCAAAGTTGAAAAGAGTGACTTCCTTCTTTCTCACAAGCGCCACCTTCCCCGAGCCCTGGGCTCCACACAGTGGACACAAGCACCTTTCCTGAGGCTGCTCAGCTGGACTAAGGCTTGGCTTGTTGCCATCTCTGGTCTCCTTGGACCCAGGGATGGCCTGAGTTGCCAAAAGAGATTTTTTGAGAGCCACAAAGAAGATAGGTTCTGACCCGGGGTGGAGGGAAGGAACACCTTAGTTGAAAGCCCTGTCTGTCTCCTGTGACCTTACAAGTAGGCATCTGGTGTGTTAGGGTAACTCTGAGCTCCCCAGTGAGGGCAGGTCCCCAGGATCTGGGGCCCACTGATAGGTTAAAAGGAAATTGGCACTGAGTATGTACTTTGCCGAGAAATTCGGGCTAGATACCAAGCCTAAAATCTTGGTAAACTAGGTCTTCCATTTCAAAAGGGAAGACATTTACAAGATCACTTAGTGGCAGTACTGAGCTTGGATTGGAAAAAAAGAAGAGTTATTCATTCTACTTGAAAGTATACTAAGGGTTTAGAAACATTGTTCTTCTCACAGCCAGTTAGATAAAATGTAATCCAGAGAATTGTTGCTAGTGCCAGTGAGGACAGAAATAGCCCCAGGTAATCCCGTGCATGCTTTGCAGCCTCTGAAACCTAGCGCTGACCACAGCTCGGTGCAGCCACGTATGGGCCCCCGAGATGTCCAGCCCTGCCAAGGCCAGGCTGTAGAATGGCCTGCCTGGCTTGGGCTGAGTGGCCTTCCCTAGTGGGAGAACAGACCAAGGACAGCCAGATAGTGGCTTGGGCCATGTCGACGCTTACCGAGCACTGTCTTCCAGGAAATTTGAGTTCTGCTTTGCAGTTAATGTATCTCTATGTATTATTAAAGATGATACTGTCTGGTCCTGCACAGCTACTAGACATTTCTAGACCTGTGATTTGAATTGAGTATAGCTCCACAAAGACCATTTGTAAATTTTTCCTCCTAGTGGTGCCAGAGTCTCCACAGAGGCCCCTCCATAGGATGGGACCGGGAATCAAGCTACTGGGGATTGAAGTTCAAGGCCGTGGTATCCAAACTGAAGGCCATGCCTTAGAATCACTTGGGGAGGGGTGGGGAACCTGCAGCCTTGGGGCCACGTGTGGCCTTCTGGATCCTTGTGTGCACCCTTTTGACTGAATGCAAATTTTTGTGAAGTTTGGATTCAGTTGAGGGGCCACACTTGGGGATCTGGAGGGCCACATGTGGCCTTGAGGCCGCAGTTCCCCACCCCGCTCTGGGGATGGGGCAGTAGTGTTGCGGCAACTGGGTAACCATCTGGGAAAAAGTATCCCCAACTCCTTGTACCAAATAAATGCCAGATACGTGAAAACTCCCCAGGCGCAGTTTTAAATTTAACAGATGAGGCCAGAAACATTTGAAGTCAAAAGGCAAGGGACAAACAGAAAACTACAGTACACACGGAAAGGGCCGATTCTCTTCATACTAAAAGAGCTCCAACAAATTGACAGAGGAACAATACAATAGACGGTGGGCAAGACATAAACATACAGTTCACAGAAATACTACTTTTTGAACATAAGATTTTTCAACCTCAAAAGAAATGCATGTTAAAACTAAGACTCCTTCTCACCTATCAGACTAAGACAAAACCAGTGTCCTCAGCTGGGTAAGCAGGCACTCGCTCACACCATAGCGGGAAGGTACGTTATAGGAACAGTCTCCTTGGAGGAAACTTGGCAATATCAGTAATTCACATTTTTGACTCAGCAATTCTAAGAACTTGTCTGATGAAGTACTCCTGAGACTACACATTGTGGCATCGTGTGTACATACAACAGTGAGCACTGGTGAATTCTCACTGGAACGGGACATGCAGGGCTTAAGAGATGCGGCAGATCCATCCGTAGTGTCGTGGGACAATCTCAGAGCTAGACTGAGTGAGAGCAGGAGGGCAGGGAACACCGTGTAGGATACTACCACGTGAAAAGCAAAAACCAAAACCCACCAGACTCTGTGTGTACACATATGTTTGCACATGCACAGAACATTTCTGCAAGGACTTACAGGGAACTGGTCGACAGAGGTTGCTTCTAGGCAGGAGAATCAGAGGCCTGGGGAGGAGAGTGGACACGTGTGTATTACTGATGTCAATCGGCTTCCCAGGTGGAGAAAGACAGGCTCAGACAGGTCACACAGTTACTCAAAGTGGCTGGCTGGCCACCTACTCCATTAGAGGGCTTTTATGGCTATCACCCCACACCTGTGGATCTGGGGGCTTGCTTTGTGCCATCTCTGGGCCCAGCTGAGAATGGCCCCCTGGAGTTGACAGCCAACTCTTTCCAATCTGGGCTCTGCCAACCAGGGGTCCCGAGAAGCCTCAGTGCCTGGGCGTGGGAGGGTAGCAAGGGACTCTGCCCGCTCCTGCTTCACCCAGTTTCATACATCGGGATTCAAGGTAGGATGTCATTGAAGAAAAGGCTTTGCTGAGTTTTCCCAGCCTCTTTTTCACAGATGGGAGGAAGCCCAGAGAGGCCAAGGTAAGTCAGCGAGTTAAGAGAAGGGCCCTGCTCTGCCCCAGGCCCTGCTCCTGGCCCCTGGTTGAATGACAACGTTGATGTGGCTTCTGTCCTTTCTCTCTCCCAGCCTCGTTCTCGACCAGGTGGCAGCGGCAGCCCAGAGCACCTGTGGCTCCGAACACTGCAGGGGTTGGCACCTCGAGCTGCATCCCTCCGTGGGCTTGAGCCTGGAGCTGGACAGACCCAGCCGAACCCACGCCCACCCCTCACCAGCCACCCCTCCGCTGCCGCCGCTCGTAAGCGGGAGGCCAGTGCCCACCCGGCACGGTTGTTACAAAGGAGGGTCAGTGAAGCCTGGAAGCACCTGAGTAATTCTTGCTGTTGTTATTGGGAGTAGGTGGGTTTTATCCGTCCTCACTGCTGCCCCTAGGATGGGGAGGCCTGTGACCAGATGTGCTGCCTCTGGCCAGGGCTTACTGAGGTGGAGTCTGGTAGGGCGACCTTCCCAGGCCACCTGTCTTTACAGGCAAGGGATGGAGGCAGAGGAGCTGGGGCCTCCTGGCCGGGGCCCAGCTGAGGAGTGGCTCTGCGCGGGAGGAGGCCTAGGGGCCCGGGGCCAGGCTGGGCGAGGGGCAGAGTCTTCGGGCACTGGGGGCTCCACCGGGAGGGCCATGTGCCCAGCCCTATGGGTGGCCTGAGAGGGGCCTGGCTCCTCCCGCTTCTAACCTGCTCCCAGAGCTGTGCAGTCTCAACTCCCCGGCTCGACAAGTAGGGTTGTAAGATTTAGCAAATACAAATAAAAGCTATTGCATGGGACATAAATAAACTGAAAACTTTGTTGGTGATCTGAAATTCAAATTTAACTGGGTGCCCTGGATTATATCTGCCAACCCTATGTGGCAACAAGTCTTCCGAGTCCTGGGCACTGGGCCCCTGGCCTCAGCTCCTGTGTGCTGTTGGCCCGCTGCAAGGCAGGGGCTCCTCTGGGCCCCAGTGTCCTCTGTCAAACGCCACCGCAGAAAGCTCACATCCAACGCATATCCCAGGGATTCCAGGGATCCGCACATGCAAGGCCAGGACGGCCTTTCCACGTGGCCACCAGGGGGCAGCAGCACCCCACGTGGATGGCGCTGTGGGGGCCGAGACAAAGCGGTGGAGCCCGGACTGTGACAGGATGCCCCTGGAGGGCCACAGGGCTGTGGCACCGGAGTGTGGCCCAACCCAGAACTGCCACCTCAGCCACATCCTGGACCAGGCCGCTCCCTCCACCCCTGAAACTCTTCCCAAGGCCCCCCGGGGAAAGCCTCCTGGCCTCCTTTGTAGAACCCATCCGGCGAACAGCTAGCTAGTGGGCCCCGGCCACCTCTGTCCTTGCCATCTCCTGGCCTGTCCCCATAGTGGATAACGCCCTCAGCCAACGCCTCCAAGGTGTCCCCAGTCCTGCCCTGTGCTCCCCCAGCACCTGGTGACCCTGCCTGGCCCCCCTCCCACCCTGAGCACAGTTTGTGGCCTGGACCGCCCTGGCCCCAGTGGTGGGTTGCGTGGCATTGAGAGCAGATCGGACCGTGTGCCCCAGCCCCAGTGGAGCGGTCCTGAAGACAGCGACCCGGTACCTGTTGCTGAACCAGAGGCAGAGCCCACCCGAGGCCACTGACGCCGTCCTCCCCATCTCAGCAGGTCCTGGCTTTTCCCGCCGGGCCAGGGTGCCGGACCTGGGCAGGGGCAGAGGCTGCTCCTCTCCGCGCTCCCTTCCCTGTCTGCCCGGGAGCAGGCGCCCGCCTGGCAGTGCTGGGACTGTGGGCGCCAAGCGAGCGCCTGCGCCTCGGCTGCCAGGGGCGAGTGCGAGCGGGGGGCTCACCCTGCCCGGGCTGGAGAGAGTGGCCCCCTCCCTGGAACGGCCAGGGCTGGCCTGGGTCTGCCCTCGCATGACCCGCAGGGGCACGTGGCCCCCAGTCAGGTCCGAGCCCCAGGGAAGTCCACCCTGGTGCAGTCCCAGAACCTGCCGGAAGGAGCACAAGTTGATGAAGCTGGGCAGAGCCCCAGTCTGCCCTCCAGGGGCCACCGCCCCCTGCCCAGCGGGCCTCAGCCTGCCCCCCTTTCCTGGCCCTCCCCGGGACCCTGCCCCAGGCAGGCCGAGCCCCCACAGCCACCCTATACCTACCCCAACGGCTCCTCAGGCCCCTGGGCCCTTCGGGCAGTGCCCTGCCCAGCCAGGCCCCCAGCTGACCCTCGGGAGGTGTTTGCTGGATAAACACCTGCCCCGGGTCCCGGGTCCCCACAGCACCCAGACCCCCGACATCCCTCTACCGTGCCCCACTCTGGGCCCAGATCCATCGCTGCCAGCACAGAGCCGGAGGCAGAACCAGCAGGCACCAGGCCACTGGCTGTGAGGTGGAGTTGAGACCAGGGCTGGGGGGCTGGGACAGGCCACTTGTCCCTCAGGCCGAGCCCTGCCCACCGCACACAGTGCCTGTGCAGGATGGCAGAAGGCCTGGGATCCTGTGGGATAAGGAGAAGGCAGGGCGGAGAGAAACCTGAAGAGCGAGCAGGCCCAGGGCCAGAATGGCAAATTACCAGGAAGGGACAGGAGGAGGCATTTTCTAATGACCAGTCCTGGAAGAGCCTGATCCAAGATAGAGGAAGAGGCTGCCAGAGGATTCCTGCTGGGTAAGTGGCTTGGATGACAGTTCTGGGTTCTTCCTCCCTTTGATGAGCTGAGCATCTTGGCATATGGACACCATCTTTGAGGGCCAGTTTTCCTCCCTCCCAGGCAGCAGTGGCTCATAAAACCATACTGGTTTCTGTGAGCTCCTGCTGGGGCAGGGTCCACTAGGATCCCCAGATCCACATCTTCCACATTTGATCAGAAGCAGCTATGATAGTTAACTTTATGCATCAACTTGACTGGGCCATAGGGTACCCAGACATTTGGTCAAACATTACTCTGGGTCTGTCCGTGAGGGTGTTTCTGGATAGGTTAATATTTGAATTGATGCACTGAGTAAAGCAGTTGGCCCTCTCCAGTGTGGGTGGGTCTCATCCAGTCTGTTGAAGGCCTGAATAAAACAAAAGGCTGAGCAAGAGAGAATTTGCTCCTGACAGCCCTGAGCTGGGACACTGGTCTCCTGTTACCTTCAGCCTCAGACTGGAGCTACACCATCAGCTCCCCTGGGTCTCCAGCTTGCTCACTGCAGGTTTTAGGACATCTCAGCCTCCGTAAACATATGCGCCATTTCCTTATTGTAAATCTATTTCTCTGTCTGCCCATTCGTCTATCTCTATATCCATCCATCCATCTCTATATTTGTATCTATCTATCCATCTCTATATCCGTCCATCCATCCCTCATCCATCTCTATATTTATCTCTATCTCTATCCACCCATATCCATCTCTGTATCTCCACAGCTATCCATCCATCCATCTGCCCATCCCTCCATGTATCTGTTTACCTATCATCTATCTTTCTCTATACCCATCCATCGTCCATCTCTGTATCTCTACAGCTATCCATCCATCCATCCGGCCATCTCTATAGCCGCCTATCCATCCACCCATCTCCATATCCATCCATCCATCATCCATCTCTATATTTATATCTATCTACCCACCCATCCATCTATCTCTGTATCTCTGTATCTATTTATCCATCCATCTATATATCTGTTTATCTATCCATCCTTCTTTCTCTATATCCATCCATCATCCATCTTTTTTTTTTTTGAGACGGAGTCTCGCTCTGCCACCTGGGCTAGAGTGCTGTGCTGTCAGCCTAGCTCACAGTGACCTCAGACTCCTGGGTTCAAGCAATCCTCCTGCCTCAGCCTCCAGAGTAGCTGGGACTACAGGCATGCGCCACCACGCCTGGCTAATTTTTAGATTTTTAGCAGAGACAGGGTCTCGCTCTTGCTCAGGCTGGTCTCAAACTCTGGAGCCCAAGCAATCCTCCCAGAGTGCTAGGATTACAGGCGTGAGCCACCATGCTCGGCCTCATCATCCATCTTTATCCATCCATCTATCTCTATATCTATTGATCCATCCATCTCTATATCCATTCATCCACCATCCATCTCTATATCCATCCATCCATCCATCCACCTGTCCGTCTATCTCTGTATCCATCCGTCCATCCATCCTTCTGTGTACCTATCTATCTATCCGTCCATCTCTGAGTTCCTCCACCCCTCCTCGCCCTGGTTCTGTCCCTCTGGAGAACCCTAACGCTGTGGTCATTCCCATCTCTCTCCTCCGGACTCTGTTCCCATCGTACTTGCAGCCTCTCTTGATTTAACCTTTGCCAGTCCCAGTTACACCTTTTACAATATGCAAGCGCCTCACTGGTGGTTCCTCCAGGCCAGGTGGAGTTGCCACAGGCACGGTCTTGCCCCTTTGTAGCGAGTTGAATCTACCCCCAGGCACCTGGTCCCACTCTCTGCACCCCAGCTAGCACCCCCGTCAAGGCTCGGCAGCTCTGGGTACTCGGGGGCGGGGGTCACTGTGACACGGTCTCTGGCAGCACCGCTGGTCAGAAGGCACTTGGCAGGTGGACTCGTCATTTCTACTCAAAGAGGCATGGACGGAGCCTCAAAAGATATGAAAATGACTAAAATCAACAAAACAGCTGCTGTCCCTGAAGGCCTGCTGGCAGCCAGGCTCTGAGCCCCGTGTCTGCACACATGACCCTGAGCCGTGCAGCTGCCCGAGCCCCTGCAGCGAAGGCACCGAGGCACAGGGGAGCCCACACCAGGGGGCCGGGTGGCAGACGCCGTCGGTGCCCATCCTCGTGACAGCCTCAATTCTGCTCACCCCTCCCCAGCCCCGTGCCCTCCGGGGGAGGGGTGTCTTCTCAGCCAAGGGGCTCACGGTCAGCTCATGGCCACCCGGTGAACAGGGGCCACGGATTTAGGTAATGAGCTAGGAGGCTGGTGGGAGAATCCTGGAACATTTTCCTCCCTCTCAGTGGCAGGACAGAGGACAGGGCTGCTTCCCTTCCTGCCTCTGAATGCTCCCGTCTGCTGTGCTGCCCAGAACCACGACAGGGTTGTGGGAACCCCAAGGCAACAGTCCGAGGACAAAAGCTGACTGTGTGAGGCTGGGCGCAGGTGGCAGGAGCCTGGGGTCCTCAGCGGTGCCGCCTTTGGCCATCTCGATCCGCAAGACAAACATCCCATCGTGGCCTGGACTTCAGCTGGTTTCCTGCTGCTGGGACCAGAAGTGCTGACACTGCAGAGAAGGCAGGACACGAACCAGGTCTGCCCAGCTCCCGGCCCACGCCGCCGCCTCCGGTCCTCGCTTGTCCTCTCCCGGAACGTGGCTTTCCTACCACCTTGCTGATTAAGCCGTGGAGGGGACAGGGAGGGAGGCAGGTGGAAGCGTGACAGTCAGATCTGCCAAGAACAGTCATCTTTTATTTCCATGCGTATTTCTTGGCATTTGGCAGATATTGAAGAACAGACTGCGCAAGATTTATAGACACAGTGACGGCTGGAGGAACACAGGAGGGGCGGGTTTACCAACAGCAGCTGGACGCGGCCGAGTCCACCTTGCCTGGGGAGTGCCGGCGCCATGGCAGACACGAGACTCAGAGAATGCCGTTTATTTTATCACTTTAATACCGGAAATGCCAGACCAATCAACAGGGAGGAAAGACCGCACACGCACGCCTGCGTTCACTACACGGACGTTAGCATCGCCACGGCTCTGGGCACGCATGCATTTCCTTTTGACACGGGCAGATGGAGAGTGCGCAAAGACCACAAAACAACCGGGCTCGAGGGGTCACGGGCCACGAGGGGGACCACGCTTCAAAGGCAACCGGAGGCATTAAATACGGGACCTACACGTTACATTTCACGTCACCATACGTATAATTTATATATTAAAAGAAAGGAGACCACAGTATATGTACGTGCAAGCGGCTTTGGTCAGAGAAAATGAACAAAGGAGGTGCGGCCATGCACGGGAGGGGCCCGCCTGTCCACTCTCCCTCTGCCTCGGCCCCACAGAGCCACCTGGGGTCACGGAATAAATTAGCTGGCCTCGGTGCGACCTTGGAAAGTCCTGCCTAGTATCCTCCTCGGTGGTGTTCTCTGGGCTCCCTGTGGGCAGGGAGGGGCCCCGGAGCCAGGAACACAGGAACCCTGCGTGTAATCACATCCCTGGGAGCCGCCCTGGAAGGGACCAGGCCGGGCACGGGGAGAGGAACGTCACACTGGTCGGGCAGAGGAGGGAGGCGCAGCCGGCCGGGCCGGGCAGGTGCGATGTGTCGCCTGGGCCCTGGGGCCCGGGAGGGCAGGAATGATTGCGGAGGCACCCACTTCTGCAAGCAAAGCTTAGACGGCAAGACAAGCCTGTGTTTCTCTGCAACCGTCCAGAGGCCTGTTCCCTCAGAACTGACTCGCGCTGCTGGGGTCGCACTGCAGCAGCCGGACGATGGAGGGGTCGCTCTTGGCACCTTTGATGAACTCTTCCAGGGACAGCTTGCCTGTGGGGCGGATCAGGAGAAACCGGGTTAGTCAGTGCTCATCGTTCTCTACACTTCCAAAGAGGGTGACAACTCTCAAGGCAGGGACGTCCCCTGAGGGCACAGTCCTGAGCCTTCTGGAAGCCGTAGTCCAGGCTCCACTCACTTCACAGGGGATTGAAATCTTTTCGGACATCTCCCCGCACTCTGCTTACTAAGAAGCATGTGCCTTGCGCAGAAGAATATGGCACTGGCCTCTGACCCACATGTAATTCAGGGAAGAGAAGCCATGCTGGGCGGGCGGCCTGAGCCTGGCCCTGAGGTCACTGCCCGGGGCACCCTGCCCGTCAGCTCTGCCCGCTGCTGGGCACAGTATCGAGTCTGTGCCATCTCCCGGCGTGGCAGAGGCAGGGCTAGACAACACGGACCGGCCACGGAAGGGGATCGGCTGGGCCCCTCGCCCACGCTCCCGCCTTCACCACAGACCCTGCTACGCCTAAAGTCAGGAGGTAGGAAAGTGGTTTCTAAAATGAAAGTGCCGTAGAAATGTGAGTTCCAGAGGAACCGGGGCGGGTGACACACACGCCCTCTCCCAGGACATAGCCTCGGGGTGACTCCGCACTGGGCGAGGTGGAGATCCGTGGGCCGAGCGGGGGTGGGTAGGCGTTTGGATCACCTTGTGCCCTCTCCCATAATCATTTTTTTTTGTTTTGTTTTTTTGAGACAGAGTCTCGCTTTGTTGCCGGGGCTAGAGTGAGTGCCATGGCGTCAGCCTAGCTCACAGCAACCTCA